GTGGGGAGATGGGTAATGGGGAGAAAGGGAGAGGCGCTGGATAAGAACTTAAAAGGTAAGAGAAAAAGGTTACTTACCTATAACTGTAGTTTTGAGAGTTTTGCTCCGGCAGATTCACACTCTTGGGATGTGTGTCTCTGCTGCTATGGGCTTGGAACGAACTAAAAAAGGAAGGGCCCACAGCAGGCATCCAAATGCCCCCTAACTGATCCAATTATTGGAAATAAAGTTATTACAGCTTCACTTCTTCCTAATTCAAAGAATCCACAGTAAGATTCCAAAGAAGTGGGTAAAATAGATCCTCAGAGGTAAAATATATAGGGAAAAAAACACAGATACGAGCAGGTTTGTCTCATTTAAAAAATGCTTCTAATGCTTTTAAGTTAAAAAAAAAAAATTAGCCTCCCAATGAAATGGTTAGTGATTAATGATTTCATTACTCTTCTCACAAACTCCAGAGAACAGTGACTTTTACAAATAAAAGTAGAACTCCTTAATTTGTTAAGACAAATGCATTATATAAGTGTCTTTGAAGTAGCCTAAAAATCTACCCATGAACACTATGTATACCAAAGGTCAAATTAAAATTTAGCAAATCTGAATAAAATAAAAAGCTAAAGCAAGTTGAAAAAGAATCTCTGAAAAAAAGATGGGTTACTTTCTGTTTTTTTTAAGTAATTTTCAAGGTTATCTTCCCTTTTCCCTTTCCTAGAAGACTCTGAGCTCCTTTTAACATTAATATCTTAAATATTTTTGATTCACAGTATTTGGGGTTTTTAGAAAAGCATGAAATAACTTGAGGTATAAACCTTGAACCTGAAAATTAATTCAGTAGCAGGTCTAAATCTTGAAGAACAACAAGAACTTAATGCAATGTTCTAGGAAAGGTTTAGACAAAGTGACTGACTAGCTTTGAACTACTTGACTATACACAAAAATAACCCACTTGTATCTGAACAGTAGCAAAGCATTATTTAATGTAAAGAACTGAGGTTACCAAAATGAAATTTCTCCCTCAACACTGTCCCCCTGCGGCCGCCCCCAGCCAAGGAAGAAAAGATTCCTGAGAAGAACAGAAATTCCTGGGACATCATTTTCTAAAAATCAACAGGATTTCCTGTACTTTCTTGGAGTAGTCAACTTCAGAATGTGAACAAAGCACAACTCCAGTTAAAAGAACAACATAGGTTTAGAATATGGACCTCTACTTGTTTCAAAAGTATTCAACAGCACCAAGCAGTACAGGAAATGTGACTACTGACAGTGATTACAAGAGAAGAACGTGTGCGTGAAGCTTCATTACCTTTCTAAAGAAATTATATCATCAAAATATCACAATGCACCTAAGCAGAGGATGGTTTACTTGTTGATTGTTGTGGAAAAAGATAATTCCTTTCTGTATTAGCCCTCCCGAATCACTTTTTTTTCCAATTCAGATAATCTGAGTCTTGATAAATAATAGCTGGATCTATCTGTAATACTACACATCCTTTCAAAAGAGAAGATATGATCTAGTATTGATTTACAACTTGTATCTGATGAGCGTATAAAGCCCATTGTGAGGGGGGCAATGGGAACTGAAGACCTGAGGTATGTCATGTTCCATGGATTGATTTATTTATTCTGAGGCTATCAAACCTCATAGATGTATTAGAATGTAACTTCTGGTGCCAAGTGCCTTGATGTCCAAAATCTCCAACTATTCTTTTCATTAACAGATACAGACAAATTACTTGCAAAATTAATCAATACAGAGAGACTTCCCTGATGGAAAAAGCAGGAAGAAGAGATGGACTCTTGTCCTTCCACACAGAGGACGAGGATGAAACCAACTTTTTCCAAGTTTCACACATCTCTATCATGATGAAAAGACCATATAATCCACTTAATCCAAGATCCAAATAGACCAAAAAGATAGAATTATAAAAATAGAGCTCTGAAAAGCACTCAGATATGAGGCAAAAGATCTATATTATAAAATCACTCCTTATGCCTATCTGACACACATTAGGTCAAACCTGCCACATTTTGCATTAGTGATTTTTGCACTAAGAATTCCTTTTTCAGAAAGCAAAAGCATGACAATCAGGATCCAGAAAGATACATTGCTTTTCAAAGAAGAAGGCACTTCTGCAAACCCCCCAAAATAAAAAAAAAAAAAAAAAAAAAGACTTCAGCATTGCCTTAGGCAAGTGTAGCAGTTGTATAATTTCTAGCAAGAACCCCCCCCAAAAAATCTCTGCCTCTCCTCTGGAATAAACAGTTCCACTACACTACTGGTTCCAAGCCTCAGAAAGCACATCTCATATCCAACCCAAGCCTTACTGTCAAAAAGAAAGCACCTGAAAACCTTTGATGAAGCATAGTACTATAGAGATTTCATATCTAAAAAGAAGAACAGAAGAAACCACTAGTCTTCTATCAAAACTTGCAAGTACAATTCTACTCAAAGTGATTTATGGAAGACAACAACATGTACCTACACAGTGACATAGTGTCACTGTAATATGTATTACCATGCCTCGATTACAAAAGCAGCAAGGATGCTTTCATGCAGATTTCAGCATGTGCTAGCATCTTGAGTAAGTTCTCTAGAGGGATGCTTCCTATTGTAAAGCATCAGCTAGCACTGTTCTAATTAGACCGAGTACATGCTACAATCACACTATTTTCTTGACATAATGTGATCTGAAGTTACAGTATATGTACAAATGTCAGTTTTTTGCATAAATACAGTAAGCAGCTTCACAAAAATGAATGACATATTTAGATATCATTGGATATATTTCTAACAGACGCATTCCTGTAGGAACAATAGAGGAAGCTTCCTCCTGCAGTCACACCAAACCAAACAGCTATAACTAGAACAATCCCAGAGTGTATCAACTTGCAGACACAGTACAAACTTACAAGCAACGGCAAAAGCATTACCAAAAAAAATAAGAACCATATTTCTCCAAGGTAACAGCTTTTCAGGAAATCTGTCCCAAGACTGCTAAAAATCCTTCTACTCAATACTATTCATTCATGGCTGAAACCTCAGCAGCCCAAATGAAAAGAGCTGCTGTCTAGCATAGGGGCAACTTACCACCAGTGAATAAATGGTGATCATTTGTCCCAATATAAGGCAGCAACTCTTGCACCTGATTGATAGCAATTGCAGGAACTCAGGAAGAACTGAGACCTGCCAGAAGATGCAGGTAGAAGGTAAACATAAGGTTGGAATCCTTATTTGGTAAGATGCTTATTGAGCAGTAGTGAAGGGGAGAGATCACATTCTATGAAAATCACTCCTTTCCCTAAAAGAAAGAAATCAGAGGCTGCCCGTGGCTATGTAATTATGGTAAACAAACTTTACAACTAATGCGCATCATTTTACTGAAAGCTAGAACAAAAGAGAAAGTGTGTTTTAGTCTTGCTCTATGTGTTTGAAGGCTGCTGTGCACCATCAAAACTACAGTGCATTTTTCCAGATGCTTCTCAGCTAAAATGTGCTGGAGATTCAACTTAAAGTGTGTGGATATAAAAGTAGCTTTTAAAGTATTAAGAGACAAACAACAAGCTCTCCATCAATAAATTTAAAATTAGTAGATAAGATTTAAGAAAAGTAACAAATTTCCCATTTCATTAAATTAAAATTAAAGACAGTAGAGATCTCTTTTGCGGTGAGCACATATTTTCTCCATATATTCACAAACAATGTTTCCTAAAAAGACTTGATTTAGTTACCAAATAAGAAATAACTAAAATGTTAAACTTTTTTAGTAATTGCAACAACCACATTTACAAACACACACACATAAACTCTCTCTCTCCTCCTGCCCCTGGCCCCAGCATCTTTCAAAACAGAAAAAAAAAAAAAAAATCTTTGAATAAGGAGAAAATGTGTGCTCTCTCTGCTAGTTAAAGACCCAAACTGCATGTAAATTCGGTTGTGTCCATGCAAGTATGTCCAAAATGGACCATTTTCACCTATGAACTTCCAAAATCAGAATTAGTGCCATTTTCCACTCTGCAAGATTTTTCTTGGGAGTATCTAACAAATTAGCATTATACTAGAAAAGATTTTTTCTCAGAAGTTAAGCACAGTGCAGAGGAAGCTTCTGAAAAATACTTATGTTAACCTACGACTATCTAATTTATAAAATACATCTTATCTTCAAGATTTACATGTGGGTTTTGCATCTACTTTTAAGACTTCTGAAGCCTAAGACCTTCAAACCAGTTAACAGCAGAAAAAAAACAAACCAAAACAAAAAACCCCAAAGAGGACAGATTCATTGACATCAGTTAAGACAACCAGTACAGCTACTGAAGTGAAGAGAAAACATTTCAGACGCTCATCTGGTTCTGTGCTAGAGACCATATAGATATATAGTAGTTCTCTAAAGCTTGTAATACCTACATAATAATGAATATCCAGTTGAACAAACATTGGAGACAACATAGTAGTATAGATTACCCAGTCATTACACTGCCTTTAAAAGAATAGCGTGATTTTAATCTAACGCTTCCTTCACATTACGTTCAAATGGGGATATAAATAGAAATGGGATAAAAGAGTTTTCCTGTGTTTTCTTAAATTAGGCAACATAGATAGTTAATTAATAATTCAACTAGCAAAACTTATTACAAATTTTGACTTATGGTACTGCTGGGATTTTAGAAACTATAAACAATGTCAATTGTACTTCATTCAGTCTCATGGTTCAAAGTAAGAGTAGCTTAAAAAGAATTTTGAAACACAAGAACTTCACTTTCCATCCATTAAGACCCCAAATAAAGAATACCAGATATTAAAAATATGCATATATGAGAGATTACAGTTCATTGTTGGAGGGGAATGGAGATGAATGTCGCAGAAGTACCTACACTGAGTAAACAGAATTGAACTATGTGACGATGACAGGAAGTTTTTATATATATATATATGGGTTTTATATGCATATATATATATTTATATAATATATATAGTGTATACACACACACAATCCTTTTACCTTTATCTTGCACTTCTTTTGAAAATCGCTCCCTTTCAATAGCTGATTCACGTTCTATCCGCTCAATTTCAGCCAATGCATCCAATTCTACTTCATCATATGACGTTATAGTTCCTTGTTGCGAAACCTGTTGCTGTGTCTGTACCACAGGAGTTTGAGGTTGTTTTGCAGCAACTGAAGTGTTCTGTTGTAAAACAGGCACTTGTTGTGCCTGAAGGAAAGCTGTCTGTTC